GACAGGACCCCAACAACAGCAGTCTGGACCCCAACATGAGCCCTTCCCCAGACAGGACCCCAACAACAGCAGTCTGGACCCCAACATGAGTCTTTCCCCAGACAGGACCCCAACAACAGCAGTCTGGACCCCAACATGAGCCTTTCCCCAGACAGGACCCCAACAACAGCAGTCTGGACCCCAACATGAGCTTTTACTCAGCACCCCAACAACAGCAGTGTGGACCCCAACATGAGCCTTTCCCCAGACAGGACCCCAACAACAGCAGTCTGGACCCCAACATGAGTCCTTCCCCAGACAGGACCCCAACAACAGCAGTGTGGACCCCAACAACAGCCTTTCCTCACACAGGACCCCAACAACAGCAGACTGTACCCCAACATGAGCCTCTACTCAGATAGGACCCCTGTTGTGCTCAGTGCTGAAGAAAGTCAATGGGCACAAAGCTTTAGACACACACGAGTGAACTAAAACATTATAACACCAACAACAGACAAGTGTCAGAAAGGCAATAAGTGACTTGTCTTACTTTGAGTAGAAAACTTATTTTACCCCAGAAAACACACTTCCTATTTAAGTGAAATATTGTGCCATAGGAGCTAGAACACTGTGCTCTGGACTGGAGGTCACAGGTTCAAATCCCAGGTGGGAATCTACTGCTGGACTCTTGACTCGGATCACTCAAGCAAAGGCTGGCTGTGTATCTTCCAGGTCGTCAGTGGAAACCAGAATTTGTTCTCACTTGACTCACCTAGTGAAATACAAATTGAAAAATCTCCTTATACCTCGAATCCTATCGATGGCGACTTTCTCCCAGGAGGACACACTCTGGTTAGACGTGAGATTTACCAATACATGTAAATCTAATACTAATACATTATACTTACGAACTATAATGCAGTTTTCTTTTAGGTGTTAGCACCTCAATTAACAACCTTTTTTTTCATTTTAAAAGCGGACAAGGTGTTTTACTACGTTATTATGGTTCTCCCATACAACGTTAAATAGATCTTGCAAGCTTTTTGACAAGGGCTGGGCTTTAGCGTGAAACTGGGAACCTTCTTTACAATGTATTTAGCAACTTAGCATACGAATTGTTGAATATAACATTCTACGTCATGCATATTCTGTTACGCGTTTGCCTTTGCAGGGAGAAATCAAAGTCATTTAACAATGCATTATTTTTACAAAAGGATCAGACTTTAAAAGACACGAAAGTTGTTATCATTCCACCTACATTTGAAAAACTCCGAACATTATTAGAATTGACTTGTCTTCTAAAAGCTAATTGAACAGTACGGAACCTCCAAAAAACATAGATTCCAATAACTATACTATTTCTAGTATAATACAGAATACTATTGCTGTGTTCTGTCTGAATACAGAAACTTCAGACCAGTCAAGCAATTCCAATTGAACTTCGTCTTTACGCATGCTCTACACTCGCTTTCCAATTACACTTAAATCACAGCCGCACCTGCGCAACAAGAGACGAAAAGGGAGCAAGTCAATTAAAGCAAGAAAATACAATTCATTTCGAAGCACAATGACAGATCTGTAAATACTAAATTGATACAGGCATCCTTTCCTCTTGACTATAGACTGTGCTCACGGACAAATGAGACAGCGCACACGACCCATCTGTCAACGTCCTCCCTGAACCGAACTCATTCCTTCGGACAACGCGCATCGAGGGAAATAGTGAACACATGCCAAAAAATAAACAAAGTCGATGTTAGGGAGTAATAAATACTGTTTCATGACGCAAAGAGGGACGTCAGAGTGCCAGACGTATCTTCTTAAGGTTGTCCTTAAATAGGGGGGTTCGTACGGGTGAACGCGCGACTTCGCATACAAATTCAGCGGGACACTGAGCAGGGCGAAACGAGAAAACGTCGCACTCTGCAAAAGGGCTCCTTAGAATAAACTGTGCAGCACAGAAACCCCCTGAAACACACACGGCAACCACTGGACTCCCAGCCTCTGCATTGACCTTGTACATACCAGCTGTGGCTGACAGACTTATTCCATTGGCTTGCTGCTCCTGTCCGGGAGGCATGGCGAATTTCTAAGGCGCCGGACAGGTTCTCCGCTACAATGCCGCAAAGATTTAGAAAACCGAGCTCCGACGCGGCGGTGCGGGCAAAGCCTCAGGAATGAACGTCAGCACCACCAGCAGCGGTGGACCATTCCTCTCCTGCCTGGGCAAAGCCTGACGATACTCCGGCAGCCTGGCTCTCCCCTGCCGCGGCGGTCTTCTCATTTTCCTCTGCGCTCCCGATCCGGAGCGTCCAGGTCTCGGCAGCCCGGGGCACTGGGCATGCGCGGCTCTGCCTGCCGTCCGATCGATCGCGCAATCCGAGCGACACTGTCAGCGCCTGTACTGGGTTACATTTCCTGCTTTATTAGAATTACCGCTTAGTTGCAAGCAACTCTAACGGTGTGAGCAGGTTTATTTTCCACCAGCTATTACCCTAATTTACATGTTCTCGAAATGCGTCTTTTTATCCTTAAGCCAACGTGCACCCATGCAATTATAACTCGTAAACGTGCTTTCATATCAAAGACGTGCTCAGAGGGAAAAACTATCACTAACAACAGCTGCAGCAGCGACAGTAGTCGTCGTAGTTAACTGACTGTCCCCCTTTAAGTAAATTAATGGAAGGAAATTATCTGTTTAGGATCATCCTTTACCCCCTCCCCAAAAGTCTGCATTTTCTCCAGTAAATATTTGATTGCAAACCTACAGGTCAGACAATTGCAGGTTATAGATAAGAAGATTAAAACAACATTAACAACGAATACGTAAAAAAAATTACGAACAAGTACATTTTAAACAATCAATTAATAAGAAGAATACAAGCTTCAAATAAATAACAGGACAACGACCCTTGAAACGAGAGACGCAAGGAGGAGAGTTGGGAAAGAGACCCCCCCTTGTGGTTCAGTGGAACATTCCACAGCGGCAGGCTGGGCGTCCTGCAGTGAGGATGCGGTGGAGCCGCTTTCCTGGACAGCGCGGACTACGTGTTGTCCACTGTCCTGTTTACATCTCACAAAAGACGCTCTTGACGTCTGTGAAAATGAAGCGGCAGTTTCAGAAACGCATCGTGCAATGCGGGGGTTACGCATCCGCGGTACCAATGAGAGCACGTTCCCGATTTGGAAACCATGTAACTATATACTGATTTAAATAGTCTAGGCCGTGGCAGAGTACGAGTGCAGGGACCGACCATTGCAACAGCGATGACGATAGCAGGAAGATGGAGATAGTGATGCTGGAGAAGTCCGGTGTTGGCTGAGCAATTAGGCGCAGGCGTCCCCTGCAGCCCGCGAGTTAACGTTATACTACAAGAGGAGGTTGTGTTACATTCCAGCCATGCCTGAAGCCAGCGCCGATAGCAGCCCAGCAGGCGCCTGCGGTGTGGGCCTTTGATGGTCGCGTATCGCCCGGCCAGCCGGGGACCAAGCGATAGCGGGGTGCTGACGGTGCGCGACACGGAGCCGTGTTTGCAGAACAGGGCAGCGGCTGTTGGCGCAGCGAGCCCGAGGAACACTAGAGGGCAGGCACCCCCTGTGTCTGGCGGCCATCCCCACGAAAAGGTTCGCCCATAGCCGCGAGAGAGCGCCGACGAGGCGCGCGGAGGACTGTCACAGTCTGGATGAATGAGTACTGTCTTATCGTACAGTCGTAGTGCAGGTTGTTCATGAGGACATGTACACATTTCCCTACACACCTCAGAAACCCATTAATTATCCGCAACGCATCCTGACTCATTGTTGCAGTGCGTTTTGTTCTCAAAATAGCTTTAGGCCTCATTGATGTGGGTATTTATTGACGATGTTGATTCCTGTCGTTTTTTTCCACAGTCATAAACCAGCCTTTTTAATGTTGTAATGCATTTACAACGTTTGGTAGCGCAGTAATTCTAATAATTACTGTGCACTTTACAATTATGAATTACAATTATTGGGTCGAATGGCCAGCCTCTTGTTGGTAACTTTTTATGTTCTATACAGAGGATTGTACACCAACTAAATCTCTCTTGGGCAAAAAAAAAAACATGATTTGGATTATTAAACATCTAGTTTAAATTTCTCATATAACTCCAAGATAAGTTGGAAGAAACAATATATAGCTCTTTGCAAAAGTCACAATACTTAATACACAATTCACAATATTTAATTATATAATTATAAAACAATAATTAACTCTTTGGTCGCTAAATGACACGAGAATACATTTCAGTCACACACAAAAAAATGTCTTTAAGTAAAACAGACATTTCTAGAGGTTTTTACAGTGCTCCTGAAAGATGAAAACATAAGGACAGCGCAGGCCCCTGAAAGCAGATAAGACGATCCAAACAAATCAGGCGCTCAAGGGTGTGTTACGCCTTTCAGGAGAACATTCCCCCCTTTTTAAAATTAAAGAAAAATCAAAGCTGCAAATCAATTAGCAGCGCAAATCTCCCTGGGCATTCGGGTCGGGGGGACTCTTCGCTCACAGAGGCCTCCTCACGGTGAATTCACGGCGGGACTGTGCTGGACGTGGGCAGAGGCGCCCGAGGGCCACCTGCACACACGCGCCCAAGACACCCTCCTGCTCATTTGGTGTCTGAGAAGGAAGCCCGTTCCGTTTTATATTTAGGCAGGAAAACTGACCAAGCAAGTTCAAGCGCACGGCCAAGTCTGAGCCAGGAAGATAAAAATAGAAACCGAGCCCGGTCCGAGAGTTTTGCCCTGTGTCCAACTTGGGGCCCGCGCTGATTGACAAGAGCATATTGACTGGGGCTAAAAAAAATCTTATCTTTTACACCAACAGCTCTACTACCGCCAGAACTCGGGAGACAAAAGAGTTCGCCGTGCGTGTCTTGAATACTGTGGAGCGGAGGAAACTGCGCAGCGGCCAAAAACTCCTCTGGGATTAAAAAAAAAAGGCTCTCACGCTTCCCTCCCAGTCCCCTGCTTCGACGAGAATCCATTCACTGCGATGTCTGCCTAGCGGGGAAGAGGACTCCTTCAACCAGCGCGCGTCGCAGGCGGCTCGACTCTCCGATGAAAGCAGAAGTTATTTTCTGACCAACTCAGAGGCTAACAAGGGTTAAGTAGAGCTCAAGACTCCAAGGCAGCGTCCCTGCTCAAGACACCTCGAGGTATCGCGTCTTCTTCAATTATTGCAACCTTTAGTGGCCCGTAGACCTAAATAAAACGAGCAAATTCGAATCTTTACGCGCATCGTGCTTTAAAAAGCTAGGCGCTCTTTTAATCGGCCTGCCGATACATCACTTTCTGATGCATTTAAATTTAGATTCTCGGGCTTTGAAGCCTGGGTGTCAAGCGATAGCAGGGCTGCTTTATTATCCGGGGAGAGCTGTAGATGTGATTGGCTTAATAAGTACTTTTTTCCGCTCTAGAATCATGGAGCCGGATACCACCGCGGGCGGGGCGGAGGAGCAGCACCATGGAAACTACCTCCCGAAAGCGGTGAGCTTTTCTTGGGGGTAACTGGGGGCACTGGGCAGCGCTAGCCTTCACGCTGGGGCAGAAACACACACACACACACCACAGGTGCCCCGGTCAGCGGACTGGGTCGCCGAAAGCCACCGACCTCTTTGTGCTAAAGCCGGCGGCCGAAGTTTGTGCTCGCAGCTGATAGATGGGTTTTCCGAGGAAACACGAACGGTCGTGCCGGAGGCGATCGCTAATCGCCGTGAAATGGCAGCAGAAACGGCGCAAAATGTGCTGTTGGTATATCCGTTCTATACAATACACGAGCAGTTTATATTTTATGTGCTTTACGTTTATTTTTTAAAAAAACACGCTATCTTAGCTCAGATGAATGATGTTTGGCAAACTCCTGGCAGAAAGCGGTAAAGACTTTTGAGCTACTTAAACACTTCAAGAATGACATTACCGGGAGCCTCCTTCTGAGAACAGGCTCGGTCAATTTTTCCCTGTTGGCGGAATTTTGGAATGTAGTTAAGAACTCGGTCCGCTCGGTGGAATCTTCACAAAGTGTTTTTCGACAGTGAAAATACTTGTGCGGTATATATAGATAGAGAGAGAGAGCTAAGGAGTGGAAAGATGGTTTCAAAATTATTTTTAATGTCCCTGGATGCAGTTACGAGAAAATTAACGTGACGACGTTTTGGATTAAGTGTTAATCCGAGAAGGGTTCATCTGTGTCCTCTTCCTTTGACATCCATAGCCGTGGCGTAACGGTAACTCTAAACCAAGATGTATGTATTACTTTCTTAAAAGTGTTTGTGTGGGTCTGTTGATCCAACATGAAAGCGTGTGAGGAGACAGTTTGGCCTGCCAGCGTTTGTCCCAGGTAACCTGCACGGGCACACAAACAGAAACCCTTATCCGAATTTTTCCACATTTTAAAAGTGTTGCATTTAGC